AGAAATAACGAGGTTGAGGGTCGATTACCCGTTTTGGCAACCTCTATAATGCGCGATCGTCGTTTTCTCAATTTCTATTAAATTAATGTTTTTATGAATTTTAAAAATTGGTTTTAAAATATTAAAAAAAATTTTTTAAACTTATTACTGTATTCTTACAGTAAATTGATCTTAAAAACTTTTTAACTAATAAGTAAATAAATAAATAAATATACCATATACCTAGTATCTTGGTTTGTGATTAATAAATTTCATATATCGAATAATTTCCATATTATTATAATGTACGTAGGTTATTAATTTTTCATTAAATTAATTTATAAATAATATTTATTTCGAAAGAAAAATATTAGTGTACTTTTTTTTTTAATTTATAAAAATTTTATTGCTACTGTAAAATGATTTCCATAAAACTTTAAATTATCTAACAAGTATCGATTAAACTTGTGATTTAAATGCATGGTGCATTTACAGTTGATCATTTGATTTGATTTTTTTTAGATCTTAATACGAACGTAATTATAACAAAAATTACTCTCGATCGACTGAGCTTAAAAAAGTTGTACAGTACTATATAGACAAGCGAAAATTTTTCGATTCGATACAGTACCGTATGTACAGTATTTATTGAAAGGACAGTGACATGAAACTTGACGCAAACAAGTAGGCCATTGTCACCAAGAGAAAGATTATAAATTTATACAGCTAAATTTCACATGAGGCGTAAGTGGAGATATGACGCAATAAATAATTCTTGCAATTTCGGTACGCATTAATGATAATGGCGTATCCAAGTTCATTAAAGCAAGAACATAATATTTTGCATACTTTTTTCCCATTCGAAGATGCGATTGCATTTAAAAAAAAAGCCTGTATGTGCATAAGTAAATATAGACTAGTGCTAACTTAATGTGGATTAGCGTGAGCAACTACGTGCGTAAATAACGGTTCAAGAAAATTTTAGATATTCAAGGAAAAATGCCGTCCGTTCTAAACAAAAAACTATCTCGACATCTGTGCATATCTGTGCATTTATATCTTATATTGCCTTATACATGATTATTAAACCCACAATATTCCTTCTAATTATTTCAAATTCAAGTACTTATGATACGTGATGGTTGTGTGCCGAAAAAATTTAATAATACTCATCATTTCAATATGTATTGTGCGCGTAGTGACCTTCGCACCACAAGCGAGATTCGCACATTCGGCAGTTCTGGTGAGGAGGAGAATTTATGTATTTGGCGGTCAACTTCCTTCACAACAACCAGATAATGGCATGTTCCTTCTTAGTTTCACGGGCACTAACAACACTGCTCCATTAAATTGGACGGATCTGTCCCCTGTCTCCAAGGTTCCGGTCAATATTTCGTGGTCAACGGCGGTTTTCGGAAAGTCGCTTAAAACAATATTTGCATTTGGAGGAATTATGTTGGATTCGATGGGAAACCAAACCGGTTTATTGCTTAAGTTTAACATTACTTCGAGAACATGGGAAAAAATCACGGCATCAGGAACACCGCCTGTAAACCGGAGAGAATGCCAAGCGGTTATTGACGATGCAAATAAAATATATATTTTTGGAGGTTCGACGTCGTCTGCTACAGGATCAAACACTACAAAATGGTTGAATGATATGATTATATTAGACACTATTAAAATGAGTTGGTCAGTTGGATCTAGTTATGAGATATCTTTTCCGCGTAACGACTATTCTGCCACTTTATTACCAAGTGGTATTATTGTCTATATTGGAGGACGAGAAGACATAGGAAATGGTTCACTGAGATTTGTTGACATCAACCAAGTAGATTTATCATTTTAGAAATTTCTTAAACTCTTGGAATTCAATATTATACTAATTTAACGATTTCGTTTAGATCTCATTGTATGACACAAAAGCAGACAGCTGGTCGGTAAAGGTAGGTTTTACAGTATTCCTATGAAGAAAATTTCACATTTGAGCTTTTAATTACACTGTATCAATGCTTTTAAGGTCGCGACTGGTCACAATATCGACGGACGTGCGAGTCATTCTGCAGTGCTGAGTAAGCAGTGTGATTTTTTTCCTGTATTTAATCCCAATCCAGTAACCTAATAGTTTCTAAATATAAAGCAAATGATAGCAAAATTATCGTTTATGGTGGGTTTAAAGACGAAAACGAAGTAGCTGCTTTTCCACAACTCATAATGTTGGATACCAACAATTCAACATTTACTTGGTCCGCACCTCCTGTCAACACTGTTACCGCTCCGCCCGCACTGAAACTACATACTGGTACTTTATACGGAAATTATATGATCGTGGCTTTTGGTAATTATTTAAAATATCAACAATTTTCATTAATTCATTTATTACTGTTATTCTGAACTATTACATAGTAGTTATATTAATACTATTATATTATTATTCGCAGGACGTTACCTAAATACACAAACGGTGTCTTCAAACACGAACCCAAACGTCTACATATTTGACTTAACGACCTTCGCTTGGCAACCTATGTCAAACACATTATC